GCGGTGAAAGCCAAGACGCACAAACTTTGCAGTCGATCGGATCTCGCCCGCGGAGCCGGAGCAGGAGCAGCAGCAGGAGCCCTGCATGGCTGTGCAGCGAGCAAAGCAAAGGAGAGACAAGGGAAACCTGACGGATTTTGTCGGGGACGCGAGCTTTTCTTTTTCCATAGTTATCTCCAAAGCAAGAGCGGCGACCTAGAGATTTAACAATATATTTGTTTTCAAATTGAGGGCGCTGGATTATCCACTTTAAAATCACCTAATCAAACGCAGGGTGCTGCTGTTGTTCAGATTCACAGAAAAGCTGATGATGATCCAGAGATATCTTTTGCCTCGCCTTTTCCACGCTCCTCTATTTTTTCCCCCTTTCACAAATAAAGAGTAAATAAGCATCTGCTTTTTACGTCATGCAACTTATGCAACATTTCATCTCACTTTTTTTTCCGCCTGCCCAATTTCTTTTCACTCGGGAATGTGAGTTGCCATCGCCATGGATATCAAATGAAACTTGCCCAGATGTGTCAGAGAAAATAAAGACATCAGTTGCTTTTAAAATAGGACGCGAAAGCTGGTGAAGTTTTGTTGTTGAATCCCTCTTTAAAAAAAAAAAAATAGAACCCCAACACTGCAGCAGTTAAAAGCAGAGATCCCTATCATAAAAGAGAAACAGATGGGGTGAGCGTAAGACAAATAATTAAGTAAGTCGGGCTTTGCGTGTGGACGGCCGAGCCCTCGCCTCGCGGAACACAGACCTTCGGGCAGCCAAACTGTATAAAAAAGTGCTGGAAAAGCGCCTGAAATTACAACATTTACATCAACTTTTAGCGGGTGACTCCAGCGGGCTGGGAACCGCTCCGCGCTGCCCGGCGGCCCCGCTGTGTCCCCCCCGCATCCACCCCAAAAACCGTGCGGGGCATCCCGGCCACGCGGGGCGGCTCCCGCGGCCCCGCAAGCACCGCGCTGCCCCGCACGCCCCACGCGCGGCTCCGCGGGGCGCGGGGAGCTCGATTTTGGGACAAGTCCGCCGGAGAGCAGGGCAGGGCCGGGCAGCGGGGGGGGATCTCCGGTAGCTCCGCACCCGCTACCTGCGCCCGCGGCTCGCCAGCCTCCCCCGCGGAGCTGCCGCTGCCCCTCCGCGCACCCGCACATGCACTCACCGCCCCCCCCCCCCGCACGGCCCCCGGCCCTGCGACAGCCCACAGCGCCCACTATAGGGCCCGGAGCCTCTCGCACCCCCCCCTTTCCCCGACACCCCCCCCCCACTCCAGCCCCCGGCAGCGGCAGCGGCAGCAACTTC